CAGTGCAATGTAGAAGGAAAGCCAAGAAATTTTCTTTTAAATACTTGCATTCATGTTTTCTTCCAGATTCAGGGCACCTCCAGATATTTCAAAGAAAATTAATACATCAGCTGCTAATTGTGTACTTTTTAAAACATATTTATTTTATACATTTGAAAGACAGAGTCACAGAGAGTGCTAGGAAAAGAGAGCGAGAGAGAGAAAGAGAGTCTTCCATGTGCTGGTTCATTCCCCAAAAGGCCACAATGGTCAGAGCTGAGCCAACCTACAGACAAGAGGCAGGAGATTCTTCTGCGTCTCCCACATAGTTGCATGGGTCCACACACTTAAGTCATCCTCCAGTACTTTCCCACTTGTATTATCAGGAGCAGGATTTGAGGTGGAGAAGCCAGGACTCAAACTGGCACTCATATGGGATGCTGGCTCTGAGGACTGGGGCTTTAACCCACTGTGCAATAGCACTGACCCCTGTAAGTGGTTTTTTTTTTAATTATTCTCAGGTTACTGTCAGTTTTCTTTTTAGATTTATAATAATTTATGAATGAAAATGGAAAATTAAAGATAAATTTTATTCTCAGGGAATATATAAAAATAAGATGAATGATGAATTTGTCATGACTATCAAGCATTGCATTAATCTAAGATAAGGTAATTTGGTATCATCTTTCTGTTGCCATAGCAAAATACATATTTGTTATATTTTCAAATGAGGCTTCAACGATAATGTTCTAAATTGGGAGTCACTATGTCCAATACAGTCTTTATTGTTATATAGGTGATGTATTGGCAGTGTTTCAGTACCACCCTGGAAATAAACACTGAACATTCTGCAATGGTAAGACTTAGCTAGTGCTAAAACACAAATCAGTTCCATTTATTTTTTAATTGTTAGAATAATGCAGTCCTTAATAATTTGGGGAACTGAATTTGATGCAGAGATAGCATAAGGGCTGTGTGAGGAAAAAATCTATTGCAGGTTATTTTATATGTTAAGATTTTATTTAAGAATTTATTTATTTATTTGAAAGTCAGAGTTACACAGAGAGAGAGGCAGAGAGAGAGAAAGAAAGAGGCAGAGGAGAGATCTTCATCCGCTGATTCACTCCCTGGTTGGCCACAATGCCCAGAGCTGTGCTGTTCCGAGCCAGGAGCCAGGAGCTTTTTCTGGGTCTCCCATGTGGGTTCAAGGGCCCAAGGTGTTGGGCCAGATCTGCTTTCCAAGGCATAGCAGAGAGCCTGATGAGAAGTGGAGCACCTGGGTCTAGAAACAGCGCCCATATGGGATGCCAGCATTTCAGGCCAGGGTGTTAACTTGCTGCACCACAGCGCCGGCCCAAAGATTTATTTATTTACTTATTTATTTGAAAGGCAAATAGAGATAGGGTGGGATGGGTAGTGAGAAAGTGATACCTTCCATCTACTGGTTCATTCACAAAATGATCACAGTAGTTTGCCAGGTGAAAGCCAGGAGCCTGGAACTCTATCTGGGTCTCCCATAACCTTGGAAGTGGAGCACCAAGGACTCAAATAGTCGGTCCACATGGGTTACCTGAATTGCAAGTGGACAGTGCAGGCTTTCCTGCTGCACCACAATGCTGGTGCCTACTGCAGGTTCTCAAACAAATCTCTCTGCATTTCCCTCAGTCACAAATGCAGATTATACTGCAGAATTTCTCAAGGTCTGTTCTTGAGTAAATAATTCATTTGATTTTACTTTAATTTGTTATAATGTTATTTCAGTTCTTTAAATGTTTATGAGTAGAATAATTACAGGAAAAGAAAGAGCTACTTTCTATTTTTTCTTGAACCTCTTCCTGTGGGGAGCAACTCAGACTATACTGTTACTGGAATTAAGAATTATTCTATGTATCTGCTCTCCCACAATATGGCGCTGGGAGAGGAGGAAACAGCTTCTACACAGCTGCCTCCAGTTCAACCAATAAACAGCAGGACCTGCTCCTGATTGGAGGAGAGCAGAGTACTCGGCATGTGGGTAGCAGAGTTGGGATTGGTGGAAGAGGACTATAAAGGAGGAGAGAGACAACATGCACCAGGAACATCTATCTGAAGGAACACCTGAGCAGCCCCCGAGAGAGCCGGCTGGCGGTGTGCCGCTCCCCCGCGGAAGTGGGGAAAGTGGCAGGGGGAACCGCCCTTCCACGGAGGTGGAAGGGTCGGTAGCCAACCTGGGAAGAACCAGCAGCAAACCCGGGGAGGGCCGAGCAGACCAAAGAACAGCGCAGGGTCCTGTGTCGTTCCTCCACGAAGAGGGGGAGCGACATAATGGTGCCGTGACTCGGATATGAAGCCTAGGCAGGATCCTGTGTCGCTCCTCCACGAAGACAGGGAGTGACATAATGGTTTCGTGACTCGGATAGGAAACTTAGGAGGGAAGAAACAGGAAGAAGTGGGAAAATACCAGAGAGAGAGACTAGCAAAGAGCCTAGGGAAAAGCCGGATGGAAAAGGTGCCGGAAGAAGCTATTGAAAGCCTAGGCATAGACTCGGATACGGACTTTGGGAAAGAAGCTGGGAGAAATCTCTAAGGTTGAAAGTGAAAGTGAAAGCTAGAACAGACTTGGATACGGACTGTGGGGAGAAGCCAGGAGAAATGAGGGAGGAATATTGTTGGAAGAAAAGTTAGGAAACATACCTGGTAGAGAAAAATATGTTAGGGAGGATGTAGCCATGGGGGCAGGCTGAGGCGGAGACGTAAGCTAGCTTGGGATTCGTCAAATCAGCCCGGGGAACAAGGGGTGAAAATCTGGAACCAGAGGCAGAGACGTGGGCCAGGTTGGAATCCGTCAGATTAGCCCAGGGAGCAAAAGACGGGAAGCCAAACCGAAAGGCGCAGTCGTGAGCTAGGTTGAATTCTCCAGGTTAGCCCGGGGAACTTAGACTGAATACCGGTGGCGGAAACATGAGCTAGGCTGTGTGATTTGCGGAAGCTGCTGCGCGCAGAGAGAGTGTGTGGGGCACAAGTGGGGAGAGCGCACACGGGGCGCAAGTAGATAGTTAACGTGGGGCTAGCGCAAAGGCCATGGTGCGGGCGCGAAGGGGCGTGGAGACTGCGGAGAGCGCGCGAAGCCGGGAAGTGGCTCAGAGCCGGGAAGCCACCGCGGGGCGAGGCGCTGAGAAGCAGCCTCGGGGCGGGCACTGGGAAGCCGCGGGGATAAGAGAAACAAGTTTAGAAGTAAAATGAGAGAAATAAGAATGCTGGCAGATAGAAATAAAATAGGAGAAATAGGAATGCCCGGAGATAGAGAAATAGAGAAAAATAAGGCCTCCCCACAACACAGCAATGAGAGCTTGGATTCGGTCTGCCTGAGTAGGCGATAAGCACCAGCAGGCAGCTCAACCAGAGTATGAGCTGCAGGTCACCGAAGATAGCCACAAATCAACATCAATAAGTCTCCCCACAATACGGCAATGAGAAGGCTTGGATTTGGTTTGCCTGATTGGTAGGGCTTGTAAGCACCTGCAGGCAGTTCTAGCAGAGCAGAGCATGCGCTACAGGGCACCGAACACAGGCACGCATCAGCGCCTAAAAACCTCATCACAACATGGCAAAGAGAGGACCTGGATTTGGTTTGCCTGATTGGTAGGGCTTGTAAGCACCTGTGGGCAACTCCAGCAAGCAGAGCAGAGTGTGCGCCGCGGGGCACCGAAGACAGGCGCATATCAACGCCAAAAATAAAAAGAAAGGGGGATCTGTGGGGAGCAACTTGGACTATACTGTTATTGGAATTAAGACTTATTCTATGCATCTGCTCTCCCACAATATGGCGCTGGGAGAGGAGGAAACAGCTTCTACACAGCTGCCTCCAGTTCAACCAATAAACAGCAGGACCTGCTCCTGATTGGAGGAGAGCAGTGTACTCGGCATGTGGGTAGCAGAGTTGGGATTGGTGGAAGAGGACTATAAAGGAGGAGAGAGACAACATGCACCAGGAACATCTATCTGAAGGAACACCTGAGCAGCCCCCGAGAGAGCCGGCTGGCGGTGTGCCGCTCCCCCGCGGAAGTGGGGAAAGTGGCAGGGGGAACCGCCCTTCCACAGAGGTGGAAGGGTCGGTAGCCAACCCAGGAAGAACCAGCAGCAAACCTGGGGAGGGCTGAGCAGACCAAAGAACAACGCAGGGTCCTGTGTCATTCCTCCACGAAGAGGGGGAGCGACATAATGGTGCCGTGACTCGGATATGAAGCCTAGGCAGGGTTTAGTGTCATTCCTCCATGAAGACGGTGAGCGACATCTTCCCTTATTTAAAAATATTTATGAGCTTGATAGAGAAAGAAGTTGATGGAGTGAGAGAAAGCTAGAGAGCTCCCATGCACCCATTTACTGCCTAAATAATCATATCAAGCAGGGGTGGGGCACAACTGAAGCCAAGAGTCAAGAATAAAATTTAGGCCTTCCTCTTGCTTGGCATCAACATTCCTTCCCCTGTTCTGCATTAGCTGAGAGCTGGAAACTGGAGCTGGCACTGAAATCCAACTTTGGAAATTTGATGTAGAGATAGAGTATCTGAGCTAGCATCATAAACACTAAGTTAAATGCTTACTGTCTCTTCTAAAACATTTTTTTCTCTGCCATAATTGCATTGACTGTGTATAGTGTTTTCCTGGAAATTCTTCTCTGTTCAATCCCTTCATAGCTTCCTGTTGGTTTCTTTTCTTTTTCCCTGAATACTTCTACATTCTTCTGAACATTGCTCATTCCAGAGTGAACGTTGTCTCCCTTTCAACCTACTGTGCAATGGCCATTGACATAGTCTGGCCTTTTGAGCTGAAACTCCTGTTTCCCTCCAACTTGGGCATTTTCCCCAGCCTTTATACCGTATGTTTGACCCCCTGTTGAATGCTTCTGTGGCTGTCCAAATGCTCAACAAATCTGAAATGAAATAGCATCCTTCCTTCTTCTTCCATACCCATGTAGAAGATATGCAACTGTCATTGTTATATGACAGAGTTGACATGATGACCAAGAGTGTTCTATCACAGGTGATGATAGCATTTGAAGAGCTGGCTGTGTACTTTACCTGGGAGGAATGGCAGAACATGAACCAAGCTCAGAAAATCCTGTACAGGGATGTGATGCTGGAGACCTACAGCAGCCTGTCCTCCATGGGTGAGTGACACTCATCACATGCCCAGTGGTAACATTTTCTCAGTATTTGACAAATAAGTGAGCAGTATTTATAAAGTTTAATGAAAGACGGGTATAGAATTTGTCCATGGAGAATCTGAATATCTACCATCTGAAAAGGAATTCAAATTGAAACATTGTAAATATAAGAGTGGGAGTAAGAGAGGGAAGAGATGTGCAGAGCCCTGGATGGGGGAAGAATGCCCACATCAGAGCCTTCCAGGTCAGTCTGCACATTTTGGGCAGGGAGGCCAAGGAAGAAGCAGTGTAGCAGATGTTGAGTGGTGCTCTTTCCATGAGTCTTACTTTCCCAAGTCTTACTTCAGACACAGTTATTCTACAGTATCTATGGAGATCAGTATCTCTGGTGAAGGCAAAGGAAATGAAGTTTCATGGGAAAATCAACAACTGATCAAAACCTCCAGAGTCACATATTATCACAGAGGATTGTTCATAGAAAGAAATGAAAGGAGGAAACCAGGGTTGACATCTTCACAATGAGATAGAAATAATTTTCATGAAATTGAGCAGATTGTGGTCTGCAGAAACGAATTCTTTAAATTGTTGTGAATGTATACCGAAGGTGGTACATTGGAACTTTCTGCAACTGTTGTAGTTCTCAGAAGCTGAGGATGTCAGGTTTCCTTAGAAATAAGGGGAAACTGTAATAGAGTGCAGATAAAACAGTTTTTCATTAGAAAAATCCCACAAATGCTGTTTCCCCGGGAAGACAGAAAATGAGACAACCACAGATGCAAATCTTGTCCCTTAAATGTGATCCTGCTTGGAATACAGATAATTTCACTCTTCTCCACTTGCAAGAAAATGATCCAGTAAAAGTTTCCCATCTTGATGGTTGAAATACCAGAGAAGTACAAAACAGACAATTTTATAAAAATGAACTGGAAAGAATAGGACAGGGAAAAATTGATTTCTAGGTAATAGCTGATTATTTTTACTAAACATATGTCCTTTTTTAAAAATCTTATATAGGTGTTTCATCTTTGTGAAAGGCAGAAAGTCAGTGAGAGGAGAAACAGTGAGCAAGAGATTTCCTATTAGCTACCTCCCCAGATACCTGCAGCAGTTAGGTCTGACTAATTTGAAGCCAAAAGCCTGGCATTCCAACTATTCTAATCTGATATATCACAGGGTCCCAAGCACAAGAACCATTATCTGCTGCCCCATAGTATACATTAGTAGAGAGCTGTATTTGAAGCAGAGTAGCCTGGGCTGAAACTGGCACTGTTTTTGGATGCAGACATTCCAAGCAGTGATTTGTATTCATTTTGTTAATTCTATCCCTCTTAAATACAAGTAACTTCATTCCTTTTACATGAGTATGTCAGGAGAAACAATTATATTTGATTTATTGACAACATTATTTTTTTCTCACTTCAGTTGCCATGAAAAGGGATGACCTGATTAGGAAAAACCAGAAAAGTCAGGACAAAAATCTGAATCAGGATGTTACAAAAAATAATAAGACATCAACTCCCAACATCCTTGAATTAAGAAAAACACTTCATTTGAGTTTAAACCATATTCCAAAACTGAGTATCAAAAAGAGAATCTATTCAGGAATGAAACCTGAAGAATACAATATATGTTACAATGTGCATCCCCACTGTGGGCCTGATCAACTACAAACTGAAGAAAAATTTGATGCTACTAAGTTACCTGGGAACGCTCTCCAGTTCTGTGAGGCTCTTAATCAACAGCACAAAATGCAGACTGTGCAACAGGCTTTTGAACCAACTGGACAAGGGAATGTCTTCAAAAGGAAAATATATATTTTGTAAATCTGAGAGGCATTTTATGGTAGAAAGTATTACATCAACTCCACTATTGGCAAGACAACTCAAATAGAACAAGATTTCCATAAAAATTCTAACCTCAGTATGCATCAACAAAGTCCCAGAAAAGAGAAAGTTTATGAATATACTAGTTCTTTGGAACCTGTCATTGACCAATCACATCTTAAAATTAATCATAGACCGCTTATAGGGAAGAAACCCTATGCATGTAAGCCTTGGGGAAAATCATTCAGTTATAAATCCTGCCATACCATCCATCATGGTACTGATGTTGTGGAAAACCCTCATGTGTTTAATGAACATGGAGAAGCCACTTACCAGAAGTTACATTTGATTAAACATCAGAGAATTCACACAGGGGAGAAACCTTATGAATGCAATGAATGTGGAAAAACCTTTGGTTATAAAACAAACCTCATAAGTCATCAGAGAATTCACACAGGGAATAAACCTTATGAATGCAATGAGTGTGGAAAAGCCTTTGGCCAGAAGTCAAACCTTATAAGTCATCAGAGAATTCACACAGGGGAGAAACCTTATGAATGTAATGAGTGTGGAAAATCCTTTAGGTGGAAGTCAGATCTCATCCTACATCAGAGAATTCACACAGGGAATAAACCTTATGAATGCAATGACTGCAGGAAAACCTTTGTCAAGAAGGCACACCTCATAAACCATCAGAGAATTCACATAGGGGAGAAACCCTATGAATGTAATGACTGTGGAAAAGCCTTTGGCCAGAAGTCAAACCTCATAAGTCATCAGAGAATTCACACAAGGGACAAACCTTCTGAATTCAATGACCATGGTAAAGCCTTTGGCCAAAAGTCAAGCCTTGTAAATCATTAGAGAAGCCACAAATGACTATGGAAAAGCCTTTATGTGCAGTTCAGAACACAGTAAACAGAGAAGTCACAGGAGAGAAACCTTATGATGGCAATGACCTTATGATGGCAATGACTGTATGTCAAACATCAGAAAGCATCAGAGAATTCACAAGGGGAGAAATGTCATGAATAATGATGGTAGAAAGCCTTTTGATATCATTCACAACTAAAAACATCTAGAATTCATACAGGGAATTTTGCACACAATTGCCTTTTTATGCAAGTTTCATTTTATCAAATATCAGAATTCATCCAGGGAGAACAATAAGATTATAATAAGTGTGGATATGCCTTTGGTGCCAATCATACCTCATCAATCATAACAATTCACATGGGAAAAAATCTTACGAATGTAATGATTCACAAAGCCTTTTACCATAATTTAGCCCTCATTGCACATTATCAAATTTGTACAGGGAAAAAAGCCTTTGAAAGTAATCATGTGGAAAATCCTTTGCTTAGATGTCATACCCTATAAGACATCAGAGAATTCACATGGGGGAGAAATCTTATGAATGTAATGAGTGTTGGAAAGCTTTGCCAAAATCTCAGGTACAACATTAGAGAATTCACAAAGTGGAGATCTCATGAATGAAATAAATGTGGGAAAGCTTTTTGTCATAGGTCATACCTCATAATCCATCATGGAATTTGAACAGAAGAGAGACTGAGAATATAATGAGGGGTCAGTGCCGTGGCTCCCTTTGTCAATCCTCTGCCTGTGGTTCCGGCATCCCATATGGGTGCCGGGTTCTAGTCCAGGTTGCTCCTCCTCCAGTCTAGCTCTCTGCTGTGGCCCAGGAGGGCAGTGGAGGATGGCCCAAGTGTTTGGGCCCCTGCACCCGCATGGGAGACCAGGAGGAAGCACCTGGCTCCTGGCTTCGGATTGGCATAGTTCCAGCCATAGCAGCCAATAGAAGAAAGACCCTTGTCTCTGTCTCTTTCTAACTCTGTCTAAAAAATAAATAAACAAAATAATGCATGTCAAAGAGTTTTCTCTCAAATAATGTAAGTATGACAAATCTTATGCTGGGAATCACATCTTATCCAACAGGGACTCATGTCACGGAAAAAGCTTATAAATATTAATAGTGCAAAAAAGTCATTTGTCACAAATCTGTCATACATCAGAGAATTCAGATGGGTTTTTTTATCCTTTTTTAATAAATAAATTTCCAAAATACAACTTTTTGATTATAGTGGCTTTTCCCCCCATAAGCTCCCTTCCATGCTCAGCTATCCCATCCCCCCCTCCCTCTCCCATCCCATTCACATCAAGGTTCATTTTCAATTATCTTTATATATAGAAGATCAATTTAGTATATACTAAGTAAAGATTTCAACAGTTTGCACAAACACACAGAAACACAGTATAAAGTACTGTTTGAGTACTAGTTATGCTGTTAATTCACATAGTACAACACATTAAGGATGGAGATCCTACATGGGGAGTTAGTGCACAATGACTCCTGTTGATTTAACAATTGACACTCTTATTTATGACGTCAGTAATCACCTGAGGCTCTTGTCATGAGCTACCATGGCTATTGAAGCCTCTTGAGTTTGCCAACTCTGATCTTTTTTAGACATGGCCATAGTCAATGTGTAAGTTCTCTCCTCCCTTCACAGTAAGATACCTCCTTCTTTGATGGCTCATACTTTCTGCTGGGATCTCACTCACAGAGATCTTTCATTTAGGTCACTTTATTTTTGGCACAGTGTATTGGCTCTGCATGCCTGAAATCCTCTCATCGGCTTTTTTGCCAGATCTGAATACCTTAAGGATTGATTCTGAGGCCAGAGTGCTGTTTAGCAAGACACCTGCCATTCTATGAGTCTGCTGTGTATCCTGCTTCCCATGTTGTATGGTTCCCTGCTTTTAAATTCTACCAGCGTTACCAGACAGTAGTCTTTCTTATGTGATCCCTTTGACTCTTAATCCTTTCATTATGATCAATTATGAACTGAAACTGATCACTTGGACTAGTGAGATGGCATTGGTACATGCCACCTTGCTGGGATTGATTTGGAATCCCCTGGCATGTTTCTAAATCTACCATTAGGGGTAAGTACAGTTGAACATGTTCCAAAGTGTACATCTCCTCCCTCTGTTATTCCCACTCTTATATTTAACAGAGATCACTTTTCATTTAAATCTCAACACTTAATAATGACTGTGTATTAATTACAGAGTTCAACCAATAGTATTAATAGAACAAAAAAAAATACTAAAAGGGATAAAGTATTAAGTTGAAACATCTCTGTATACCAGGGATAAATTCCACTTGGTCTGGATGGATGATCTTTCTGATGTGTTGTTGTATTCTATTGGTGAGAATTTTATTGAGGATTTTTGCATCTATGTTCATCAGGGATATTGGTCTGTAATTCTCTTTCAAAGCTTCATCTTTTTCCGGCTTAGGAATAAAGGTGATGCTGGCTTCATAGAAAGAGTTTGGGAGGATTTCATCTTTTTTGATTGTTCTGAATAGTTTGAGAAGAATTGGAGTTAGTTCTTCTTTAAATGTCTGGTAGAATTCAGCAATGAATCCATCTGGTCCTGGGCTTTTCTTTGTTGGGAGGGCCTTTATTACTGTTTCAATTTCTGTCTCAGTTATGAGTCTGTTTAGGTTTTCTATGTCTTCCTGGTTCAATTTAGGTAGGTTGCATGTGTCCAGGAATCTATCCATTTCTGATAGGCTTCCCTGTTTGCTGGCATATAGGTCCTAGTAGTAATTTCTGATGATTCTTTTTATTTCTCTGGTGTCTGTGGTTACATTTTCTTTTTCATCTCTGATTTTATTTATTTGGTCTTTTCTTTTTTTAGTTAGTTGTGCCAATGTGGTGTCAATTTTGTTTATTTTTTCAAAAAACCAGCTCTTCACTTGGCTGATTTTTTTGTAATTTTTTTGATTCAATCCTGTTGATTTCTTCTTTTATTTTAATTATTTCTCTTCTCCTACTAGATTTGGGTCTGGTTTGCTGCAGATTTTCTAGATCCTTGAGATGCAGTGAAAGCTCATCTATTTGGTGCCTTTCCAATTTCTTGATGTAGGCACCTATTGATATAAACTTTCCTCTTAACACTGCTTTTGCTGTATCCCATAAGTTTTGGTATGTTGTGCTGTTATCCTCATTTACTTCCAGAAACTTTTTGATTTCTCTTTTAATTTCTTCTGTGACCCATTGTTCATTCAGGAGCATGTTGTTCAATCTCCATGCATTTGCATATGCTTTAGGGATTCCTGAGTTGCTAATTTCCAACTTCATTCCTTTATAGTCTGAGAAGCTGCATGGTATGATTCTAATTCTTTTAAATTTGCTGAGACTTGCTTTATGGCCTAGTATGTGGTCAATCCTAGAGAAGGTTCCATGTACTGCTGAGAGGAATGTAAATGCTTTCTGTGTAGGATGAAAAGTTCTGTAGATATGTTAGATCCATTTGGGCTATAGTGTCATTTAAATCTACTGTCTCCTTGTTGATCTTCTGTCTTGTTGATCTGTCTATTTCTGAGAGTGGGGTATTGAAGTCCCCCAGTATTATTGTATTGGAGTCTAAGTCTCCCTTTAAGTCCCTCAACAAATCTTTTAAATAAACCGGTGCCCTGTAATTAGGTGCATATACATTGATAATCGTTATATCTTCCTGTTGAATTGATCCCTTAATCATTATATAGTATCCCTCTTTGTCTCTCCTAACAGTTTTTGTGGTAATATTTATGGCTACGCCCGCTCTTTTTTCATTTCTGTTAGCACGGTATATCTTCTTCCAGCCTTTCACTTTCAGTCTGTATGGATCTTTGTTGGAAAGATGTGTTTCTTGTAAGCAGCAAATAGATAGGTTTTGTTCCTTAAGCCAGTCAGCCAATCGGTGTCTTTTAACTGATGAGTTAAGTCCATTCACGTTTAATGTGACTATTGATACATAGTGACTTTGCCCTGCCATTTGCCAAAGATAAGTTCTAATATATGCTTTGAGCTTCCCATGCTCTTTTACTGGTAGGTCTTCTTCCTTTCCCTTCTTTCATATTGATGACCGTGTTTCTGTGTCTCTGTGTGTAACACATCTTTAAGCATCTTTTGCAGAGCTGGACGAGTGGCGACAAATTCTTTCAATTTCTGTTTGTTGTGAATGGTCTTTATTTCACCTTCATTCACAAATGAGAGCTTAGCAGGATATAATATTCTGGGATGGCATTTTTTCTCTCTTAGAACCTGTGCTATGTCTCACCATTCCCTCCTAGCTTGTAGGGTTTCTGATGAGAAGTCAGCTGTGATTCTGATTGGAGATCCTCTGAGAGTAATCTGACGTTTCTCTCTTGCACATTTTAGGATCTTTTCTTTATGTTTCACTGTGGTGAGTTTAATTACCAGGTGTCGTGGTGAGGATCTCTTTTGGTCATGTTTACTGGGGGTTCTATGAGCTTCCTGTACTAGGATGTCTCTGTCCTTCTCCAAACTCAGAAAGTTCTCTGCTAGTATCTCACTAAAAAGGCCTTCTAATCCTTTCTCCCTCTCCATGCCTTCAGGAACTCCTAGAACCCGAATGTTGGGTCTTTTAATAGTATCCTGAGGATTCCCAACAATATTTTTTAGAGTTCTAATTTCCTCTTCTTTTCTTTGGTTTGATTGTATATTTTCCTGTGCTCTGTCTTCTAAGTCTGATATTCTCTCTTCTGCTTCACCCATTCTGTTTTTAAGGCTCTCTAATGTGTTTGTCATTTGATCTATTGAATTTTTCATTTCATTATGATTTCTCGTCACTATCACAGTTTCATTTTCTACTAGTTGTTTCATTTAATTTTGATTCCTCCTTAATATTTCCTTTTCATGAGAGAGATTTTCTATCTTGTCCATTAAGGATTTCTGTAGTTCGAGAATTTGTTTTTGAGAACTTCTTAATGTTCTTATCAATTTTTTGAGATCTGCTTCTTGCATTTCTTCTATGTCATCATCTTCATAATCTTGAATTGGGGTGTCTATTTCATTTGGGGGCGTCATAGTGTCTTCCTTGTTCTTGTTACCTCAGCCTTTGTGTTTGTTTGGCATATTAGAGATATTATTTGTTTTTTTCTCGTTATACTGTGACTCTTTATTAAGAGGACTGTCTGCTTTTGATGGATCCTTAGAGGCTGTGATGGGTGTGGCCAGAGAGCTCTGTTTCTACAGGGTTTAGGGTGTGCCAAAGGTGATTCACCCTGATTGTTCTCTTGCTCGCTCTCGCTCGCTCTTTTTTTTTTTTTTTTTTTTGAATCGGGAAGTAATTCCACACAGCTGAGTGGAATTGAGAGTAGTTGATGTATGAAATCTGGCCCCTGTGGGTATTCATTTGCTTACAAGAGTCAGGTTTTCCTGCTTGGCTAATGAGGGGCACCTGCTTTACCTATGCAAAATGGCGTGCACCGCTTTACTTATGTAAAATGGCACCTGCCCTTTGTCTTGCTAGGCTTTGTAAGGTGAGTGGAGAGAGAGGTTAAATGCCCATGCCGGTTCCCCTTATTTATTCAATTATTTTCTCTCCTCCAGCCAGCCTGGTGAACTTTCCCCAATGGGGTTTCAGGCCTTATTCTCTGAAGGCTCTTTCTGCCTTTCCCTGCCTATGTCTCAGGTTACCAAGAGGTTTTGGTCTCACCCCCCTTCCAGCGCTGGTGCACAGACTCTGCAGCTCCGGCGGGTCTGGCGGGTCTGGCGGGTCCAGTGGCTCCCGTGGCTCAGCTTCCACTCAGTGGGTGACCGGCCTTTGGTATTCTTGACCCTGATTCCAGAGCAGCCTCTGCAAAGGGGCCCAGCCCACCCAACAGCCCTATCCATAAACACTGAACAAGCTCTCTCTGTTCAGCAGTGCTGATAGTCAGGATTAATAATATTTTAAAGATTTATTTATTATTTTAAAGTCAAGTTATAAGAGATAGAAGGAGAGGCAGAGAGAGAGGTCTTCCATCCGCTGGTTCACTCCTCAATTGGCTGCAATGGCCGGAGCTGTGCTGACCTGAAGCCAGAAGCCAGGAGCTTTCTCTCAGTCTCCTATGCAGCTGCAGGGGCTCAGGGGCTTGGGCCATCATCTACTGCTTTCCCAGGTCAAAACAGAGAGCTGGATTGGAAGTGGAGCAGCCAAGTCTCAAACTGGCACCCATACAGGATGCTAGCACTGCAGGCACTGGCTTTGCCCATTATGCCACAGTGCCAGCCCCTAGGATTAATAATAAATGTTCTATCCTCCTCAAGAAAATATGAAAAATGTATATGATAACATATACTAAATTTCTTCACTAATAATATTCTAAATAAAATTTACTTATCATTTTCTGAACAAGCATAGACATCTAACAACTAAATCTTTCAAGAGTTTGTAAATTCAAGTAGAAATGAATAAATGTATACACTAATGTCAGATGACTTCTTCCTGCTTTGGTTACTAATGAATGACCAAGCTTGTTGCTGTAAATAAATGGTCACTAGGATGTTTCTCAAACATATGTGTGGCTCAAGATTAGACTTCTTCCACTTTGTGGTCTCACCTGTCAACCATAGCAACTATTTTTGATCATAGGCTTTTCAGTGACATGTAACTCTGCACAAAAGAGTCATCATCCTTATTGAGATGTAGAGACATGTGACATATTTGACTGCAATGTGCTTCTCTTTTTTTGGTTGTTTTCTTTTCCTAATCTCTTTAACATGCATCTGTGCTTTGGCAATTCTGAAAACATTCAGATCAACTCAATCATTAGAGAGGCATAGATCATTAGTTCCTCAAGTCTTTAAAGTTCTAATATGAAGATTAGCTGGACACCTGCTCTTGACCTAACTTATTTAACCAATAAAAATGCTTTCAAAGAAAGTTTATAAAACAATAATGAATTGCCATTATTTTCAAGTCTAACTGAATTTTAAAAAGAAACATTGAAAGTGAACAGTTGGAATCCCTACCCAGGCTATCTCTGATGTTAATACGTGATGAGCCCACACCATCTACCACTTTAGCTACTTACAGTCAAACAGACATCATCTTTCCCATTGTACTTATAGGCCAGGGCAATCCCAGCTCCCAGGGGCACCTGAGCACCCATGATGCCATTGCCCCTATAGAAGTTATTGGCATACATATGTATTGATCCTCCTTTCCCCTTAGCACAGCCTCCTCTTCACCCCATAAGCTCTGTGAGAATTTCACAGACAGAAAGGCCCTGAGTGAAGGTAAAGCCATGAGCCTGAAAGGCCATGATGAGGTGGTTGCTGGGATTTATTCCAGCCTCCAGGCCCACACAGCAAGCTTCCTGACCATCACACAAGTGACAGAAACCACGGATAACCTTCTGCTTATATAGCCGATCTGCCTTTAACTCCATTTGGCGCACAGTCTGCATCATCCTGTAATATTGGAGCCCATCCTCTCTGGTGAGTACTGTCATGAAAGGAGAGCCCTATCCCAGCTGGTGAAGGTCACATTTCTTAATCTTGAATGTAGCATCATTTGCAAAGTTGCAGGATGCCATCAGCACTCTCCTTGCCGGCTTCTGGGCAGTGCCAGATAATATGTGGGAGACAGTGGCCAGCATCTTCCTCAGGGAGTGCATGAAGCAGTAGCCATGGCAACTCCCAAACCACCCAAGGGGAACTGCTCAGCCGTCCTGAAGTCTTCTTCAGGTGCCCCAGCTGTAACTGCTTTTATAAGGAAGTTGTTATAATCACCTCCTCTCCATGGTATTCTCTGCACAAGAAAAGAGAAGCAACCGGAACAGGCCAGAAACCAACTGTTAATTTATACCTCATATTTATTTATGGACCTTTAACTTACAGGACTAATAATACAGAAAATTTGAGATATATTACTGTGTTAATGATTTTTATTCAGAAAAGGAAATAAAACTCCATGATTCTCCATTTTAGGTTTCAAAAGAAAATCTAGATTGGCAGACCAACAGAGATCTTCCATCTGCTGATTCACTCCCCAAATGCCTACAATAGCTGGAGCTGGGCTAAGCTGAAGTCAGGAGCTGGTAGCTCAATTTGGGTCTCCCACATGGGTGGCAGGAACCCACATACTTAAACCATCACTGCCATCTCTGGGATACACATTAACAAAAAGCTGGAATCAGAAGCAGAGTTGGGACCTGAACCTGGGCATTCCAAGCGACATCTTAATCACTATTCCAAACTGTCTTCCCCAGACGTCTTAGTAAAGAGGGAACTATTAGTTTTAAGGAGGCCCTACTGGCTTTGAAGTACAGCATACTCTATACTACAAATGAATCTCAAGTATAACCATAGAAGTATACAACATAGTATTTCTTTTTTTCAAGTTTTATTTATTTGAAAGTCAGAGTTACACAGAGAGAGGAGAAGCAGAGGGAGAAAGAGAGAGAGACAGACAGACAGACAGACAGACAGGTCTTCCACCCGATGATTCATTCCCCGACTGGCCACAATGGCTGGAGCTGTGCTGATCTGAACCCAGGAGCCAGGAGCTTCTTCCAGGTCTACCATGTGGGTGCAGGGGCCCAAGGACTTGGGCCATCTTCTACTGCTTTTCTAGGCCACAGCCAAGAGCTGGATGGGAAGTGGAGCAGCTGGGTTTTGAACTGGTGCCGATATGGGATGCCAGCGCTTCAGGCCACACCACAGTGCCAGCCCCAAATGTAGTATTTCTAATGGAAGAGTTGGTTAAGTCATTAACTCCTCTGACATACAAGTCAAGTATTAGTTTTAAACTCTGATTCATTCAGGACAAAAATAAAATGTTAATTTTTTCTTTGCTTCTGACTATGTAAATTGTATTGCAAGAAATTAATCATGACTTTTACATCTCAAATCCTATTATGAGTAGGTACAGAATCTTGTGGGGTCATATTCTTTGATGAACATTTTTCCAGTTAAAGCACCCAGCAATTGAGATGTCCAAGTCCTACATCATAGTACTGGGGTTCAGCGCCTAGCTCTGGTTCCTAACTCCAGCTTCCTGCTAATACTGATCCCATAAGGCAGCACTGGTGGCTCAAGTATTCAGGTTTCTTCCCACACATGGGAGATTAAGATTGAGTTCACACTCCTGGCTTCAGCCTGACCCAGTTCTGGCTGTTGCAGGCATTCTGGGGAGTAAACCAGAGAATCAGAGTACATTCTCATTCTCTCTCCCTCTGCCTCACAATTAAGTAAAAAAAATAAAGAAACTCAAACTGGACTAAAGGTAATAATAAAGGTAAGTGTCACACTTCTTTCATATGACCAACCACTAGGTATTAAAAGTTTTCATTTTTTCCTCTCATCACATCTTTTGCCCATGGCATTTAATTTCCTAGTTTTTGTTTTGTTTTGTTTTCCCTTTGTAAAAAGTAACCACTTAGTGCCAGTGTTGTGGTGTGAGTTAAGACACTGCCTGCATGGGGCCTGTGCTGTGGTGCAGTGGGTTAAAGCCCTGGCCTGAAGTGCCAGCATCCCATATGGGTGCTGGTTCTAGTCCTGGCTGCTCTACTTCTGATCCAGCTCTCTGCTATGGCCTGGGAAATCAGTAGAAGATGGCCCAAGTCCTTGGGCCCCTGAACCCATGTGGCAGACCTGGAAGAAGCTCCTAGCTCCTGGCTTTGGATTGGCGTAGTTCTGCCTGTTGCAGCCATCCAGGGAGTGAGCCAGCAGATGGAAGACTTCTCTCTCTCTGCCTACCTCTCTCTGTAACTCTTTCAAATAAATAAAATAAATCTTAAAAAAAAGCTAGGGATCAGGGAAACTTCTTCTAGGTCTCTTGCTTGGGTGCAGGGCCCAAGCACTTGTGCCATATTTCGCTGCTTTCCCAGGGCATGTTAGCAGGGAGCTGGATCAGAAGTAGAACAGCCAATCAGTGCCCATATGGGATGCTGGTGCTGCAGATGTTAGTATAACCCACTCTGCCACAGTGCTGGCTCCATGACAATTTTTAATTCCTAGTAATTAACAGGGAAGAAAGAAGTATGGCAGTATACCTTTTTTTAAAAAAAGATTTTACTTATTTGAAAATGTTATAGGGAGAGAGAGAGAGAGAATCTTCTGTCTGCTGGTTCACTCCCCAAATGGCTACAATGGCCACAGCTGAACGAATCTGAAGCCAGGAGCCAGGAGCCAGGAGCTTCTTCAGGTCTCCCACATGGGCAAAAGGGCCCAACGACTTGGGCCATCCTCTGATGCTTTTCCAGGTGCATTAGCAGTGAGCTGGATCAGAAGTGGAGTAGTCAGGACTCTAAACAGCACTCATACGGGATGCCTGCATTTCAGACCAGGGCTTTAACCTGGTATGCCACAGTGCTGGCTCCAACAGGTGACCTTGTACTCTCAATAATCTCCTCTTGGTATTGGCAGCAGTTTGTAAATTTTTGTTTGTTTGCCACCTTCTGTAATCTTCTGTAATTTTAAAAAATTACAAAAAGTTCCAGCACCCTGAGAACCTCCACCACTAGGGCATACAATCAGATGTTTGTCCAGCAAAAGGTGGTATAGATGTAACGTGGAAATTGCAAGGTGAGTTGATCCATCTTTCTCAAGCTGTGGTTTCCTTGAGCAACTTTTACAACCCACTGCCTTATTTGTTCCTCTTACACAGAGTGGAAAACATGTTAAACTATCCTATTTAGCCAAAAGCCAGTGGCAGCACTTAAATATGTCATCAGCCCAGGGCCAGCATTGTGGCACAGAGGGGTAAGTCACCCAGTGCAACAGCAGCATGCCTTATGAGCACTGCTTTGAGACGCACCTGCTTCACTTCTTATCCAATTCCTTGATTGGGATAGCAGCAAAGACTGCCCAGGTGTTTGGGTTCCTGCACCCACATGGGAGACTCAGAGTTCCAGGCTCCTGGCTTTGGCCTGTCTTAGCCCCAGCTACTGTGGCCATCTGGAAGTGAGCCAGCAGATGAAAGATAGAGATTCTCTCTTCTCTGCCTTTTACCTAAACATACATTAAATAAATAAATGAAAAGGCATTAATATGGCAACTTTTTGAGGAAAAGGCTTCTGACAGTTGCAGGTATTGTCTCAATGCTTAAAAATATTCAGACACATATTTATATTTATATTTCTCAACCACATACTTTTCAGAAAAAAAATGTCTGCCACTCATCATCAGTTATCAGTCTGAAAGCATTCATGAAAGAAATCAAGTAATTTTACTAAACACAAAAACCTCTAGTATAGCCTGCATTTAAACCAGTTGCTTCCATGGATATACACAGATTGACTTTTGTTAATTTACAAGGACCACTGCACTTCCATGGCATGGAGCTGTCTGAAAGTTTAAACGCTGATGGGTGTGGCATTATTTCCCATATTTGCTTATTATCCAGAATGCATTTATTAAACATCTATCATGAACTTCATACTCTATAAATCTGTTTCAAATATGTTGATATTTAATGGTACTTACACCCTTATAAACTGAGCTAATCCTAACTTCTCTCTGGAATAGCTATGCCTTTGACATTGCCTTTTTTTCACACATATGTAAATGTATAATATGCTTCTGTATGGCACTTCAGAATTTATAAAAGGCTCTTCACATAAGATTTACATAACAGCAAATGACACAGTCCTCTCATTACAGAGGGGAGAAGTATGAAGTTGTGGGGAGCAACTCGGACTAGACTGTTACTGGAATTAAGACTTATTCTATGCATCTGCTCTCCCACAATATGGCACTGAGAAGGGAGTAACAACTTCTACGCAGCTGCCTCTCGCCAACTTCAGTGATGACCTGCAGGAGCTGATCCTGCTCCTGATTGGAGGAGAGCAGCATACTCGGCGTGTGGGTAGCAGAGTTGGGATTGGTGGAAGAGGACTATAAAGGAGGAGAGAGACAACATGCACCAGGAACATCTATCTGAATAACACCTGAGCAGACCCCGAGAGAGCCGGCCAGTGGTGTGCCGCTCCCCCGCGGAAGTGGGGAAAGTGGCAGGGGGAACCGCCCTTCCACAGAGGTGGAAGGGACGGTAGCCAACCCGGGAAGAACCAGTAGCAAACCCAGGAAGGGCCGAGCAGACAAAAGAACAGCGCAGGGTCTTGTGTCGTTCCTCCACGAAGAGGGGGAGCAACATGAAGTGACTCTCCCAACAGTTACTCAGATTCTATCGGTCAGGTTCAGAATCTAATTAGGTCTCAGATACACATCTAGATTTTTCTCCCTACTGTCTCTTTGTCAGAATTCCCAGCCTATGAGTGAACTTCAGTCTGAATGAATGCTAATATTCAAGGTTCTAAGTGAAAAAATCACTGAAGTTTGTATTGGTGAGTTAAAGCATGTATCTAAATTTTACATTGAATCATATGAAACTGAATATAAGATTATGCAAATTTTCAAGATAAAGAGCATATATTTAAGAACACATTCTTAAATTTTCAAACATGTTGAAACACCTTACTGGAGCATGTGTTTGGCATAGTGGTAAAGCCTTCCACATTCCAATCAGAATGCCTAGGGTCCAAGTTCTAGCCCTGTGTCTGTTTCTAGCTTCCTGCTAATAGAACCCTGGGAGGCAGCAGCTGATGGCTCAAGTACTTGAGTCCCTGCTACTTATGTGGGAGATCCACACTGAGTTCCTGGCTTCAGCCAGACCCAGGCCTGGTTGTTGTAGACATTTAAGGAATGAGCAGTAAATGGAAGGGCTCTCTCTGCCTTTCAAATAAACAAAAATAAATACACAGGAGCCAGTGCCATAGCTCACTTGGTTAAACCTCCACTTGTGGCACCAGCATCCCATATAGGTGCCAGGTTCTAGTCCCGGTTGCTCCTCTTCCAGTGCAGCTCTCTGCTGTGGCCTGGGAAGGCAATGGAGGATGATCCAAGTGCTTGGGCCACTGCACCCACATAGGAGACCAGGAGGAAGCACCTGGCTCCTGGCTTTGAATTGGTGTAGCTCCAGCTGTAGCAGCCATTTGGGGGGTGAACCAATGAAGGAAGATCTTTCTCTCTGTCTCTCTCTCTCACTGTCTAACTCTGTCAAATTAAAAAAAAAGCCTTAAAAATTGAAAATAAAAAATATACAGACCTTTTCTTAAGGTGTCTTGCTCACATCTAAGTGATTTCCCTTTCACAGTAAAATACCTAACTGTTCTCAAATAATGCAGGTTTTGCTCTCCATGTCCACTCCTGAGCTCCAAGTACTGGCAGCTCACCCTAGCATGTTGACTGGTTCCACTGTTCAAGCACACATCTCCCATTCTCTTTTGGTGTGTCTACTGGAAAGAAAGGAGAGTATCTACAGTAATTAATATCTTACTGTTGCTCTTGCTGTCCACCTGCAGGCCTGAAGGAAGAGCACCTGAATATGCACTGTGGAGTTCTGGACATAGTTTCCAAAATTCAGTCACTTCATAGCTGAGGGACTCTGTCCTCATCAATCACCTTAAAGCCTAAAAGGGTAGGGAGAAGCTGTGTTTGAAGAATTCACAAATAAAGTGCATTCAAGCCAACCACTACCACCTCCACCACACCCCTAATTCAGGGTTCTGGCAAATTCCAAACGGACCAGGAGTGACTCAGGAGGTGAGCTCAACTCCTTGCTCTGAAAGGTTCTAAAGAGCCTGGTGCACCCAGAGCGAGCTCAGCACCTCACCCTCCTGCCCTCACCACCAGGGATGCCCAGCTCCCAGCACGGCCAGGCCAGCAGCAGCCCCGCAGGTCCAGGTGCACGCAGACACACGTCCAGAGCTGACCCAAAATGCAGGCCCAGCTCGGGTGTCACCTCCCCACAAAGTTGCTGTCTCCTACTCCCTCCCAGAAGGCTGCAGGCCTGCACCTGGCACCCGGAGTCCCAGTGTTCAGGGTTTGCCTGCCCTCCTGTGAACTAAGCCACCCCCGTGGGAACTCCGCTCCACTTGCGGGCAGGGCTGGGGAAGAAGGGCAGGGCCAGCCTCTGCCCCAGGACTGCAGCCTGGGAAAGTCCACGGCCCCCAACGCCCCTGCCAGGCGCGGCATCTCCCTGAGTGTGCTCTGAGCCAGGGCCTCAGCCATAAGCAGCTCCCTTGCTTCCAGAATCTGCTGCAGGGCAGCTCAGACTCGGCTCAGCTGGGGGCCTCAGGCCAATCCTCACTGTCCTGGAGCAGGACCAGCGCTGCCAGACCCATCCCACACTGGGCCGGCTATAAAGGCGATGGTCATTGGCGGGCAGCTGGTAGTTGCAGTGTGTTAGGGTGATCTGGGTAGTGTTATGTTCTTGGCGGTTGAGCTTGATTTCAGACCCTGGGACTAGAATGCAGGCGGCAGCCAGGAGCTGCAGGAGAAGAGGAGACAGACCCAGTGAGTGCCCCACCTCTCCCGCCAGCCCCACTGGATGAGGCTTGCAGCACGTGCAGCACTTGGGGAAGCAATGAAGGCCGAGTCTCAGCAGGAAAACCAAGCATGTGGTGCTGATTTGTGCACTGACGCTGCATCTGTGTGGCCTGCTCGGGCAGACACCCAGGACGGGCTTGGTAGGAGGGTGCTGGAGGCTCACTGGGCCCTCGTGCAGCCACCTGTTGTAGGCATCCAGGGCAGCAGAGTCCTGCAGGGTCCCTAGAGATCCTGGCCACGCTGCGCTTTCGGTCATCCACCCTCCTGCACTGCTGCTGGGGGCAGTGCTTATGCAGTTGGCTATCTCGTTGGAGTCCATGGTCGTTTTCTCTTGATAGGCTGATAATGCAGTGACAACCGTGGAACAAATCACTGTTCTGTGGCATCTGCTTCCCAGGAGCATTGCAGGTGGACTGGGGGGGGGGACTTGGGTGACCAGTGGCACCTCCTGTGCATGGTCTCTGGCCCATCCAGGACCAAAAGTGGAAAGGGAAGCAGAGAAGCCGGCTCAAGGCAGTCCCGCTGTGGGTTCCATCAGGTGCAAAATGTCTCCCAATTGCAGTTAACCTTGCAGGGAAACTGTCCACTTTTGTGGGCCAGAGACAGCATCTGCTTTATTAGCTGTGCAATGTATTGAAAATTAAAATTTGGGCAGTCCTATCTTTAGTCCTCACAGCATAGTTACATTCTGAGGAACTGATGAAACTGCTCAGTACTTCGGGGCTGAGTTTAAATACTAGGTGGGTAAGCCTGCTATTGGCTTTTGGTTTGTCTCATTTGGTTTGTTTGTAGCTACTGGGCGACTGGTAAAAATGCATTCAGGCTCAGTAGTGTATTCAAGGATGGTCATTTAGTGAGATTTTTTTTTAAAGATTAAAAGATTTGAAGACATGATTAAGCTACTTATTGCAAAATCCCACCACTCCTGGGAAGGCCAAAATCAGCAAGAAAAGCAGATAGCAAACTTTCATTAAGTAAGTTGAGATTCTTGTGTTTGCAATCTGAACAACTCATTGCTGAGCTGGGAGGGGAACTGCTCCTGCAGACCACCCTGAAGGAAGCACTGCTGTGGTCAGAAGCATGCCAGGAGCTGCTGGCCTGCAAATGTGAATTAGTCTTGAATTTAATCCATTGCAAGTATCACAAGAGTGCAGAAAGGCTGTGTCCTCAAATGAGCAGCTCACCAAGGGGAATGAGACTTACCCTAGAAGGTCTGTTTATCTCCCTTTATTTCTCAGCATATTCACCCCAGGTGGGGAAGATAAATCACCCTTCAGCTCTGCAATGGCAGTGCTCTTGGTTGAGGCTGAGGATGCTTTTCATTGCATGCAATGTTTGCAAGAGACTTAGTTTCCTGAAGATTTATGCCTCTCCTATAAATACATTTTTGGCATTAAAACAAACTGAAGTATTTATGTTTTAGCAGTATGGCACCAACTTCAAGTATTTTGCCTACTGGCATCTTTGTCTTTAAAGAGCTAAATCCTCAGAATTACAGGATTGAGTAAAAACTAGAGAATAGCTAATCCTAGTACTAGAAAAACACAAGGGATTATTTGATCATTCGGTTCCTCATATTCCACATGCTTTTTTTTTCTACCTTCTCTTCCCTCCCTACAGATGGTATGGCTGTATTCAAGGCTTTTTTAAAAACTGAATTCTGTGAAGAAAATATAAGCTACTGGCTGGCTTGTGAAAACTTCCAAAAAATCCACCTACCCCAGAAGCTATCCTTAAAACCAAGATAAATATATACACTCTTCTTAGAAAAAGCCCCAAAAGAGGTAAGACAATATTCCTCATTTCAGCATAAAGTGTACACCCTTGGCACTGAGAAGCAACAAAAGAAGTAAAGATGTAAGATTAAAGCAAGGGCCAGAGAATCTGAAAAGCTTTCCTGGTGTCTTGGCTTTCAACTAAGTATCCCCAGACCTAGCAGGTGCAGCTCATCACACATTACAGCTTCTGATTTTCATGTTCAAAGAGCACAGCTCCCTTCTCTAACAAAGGATAATGAATGATCTTCTTTGTTCCAGATAAACATGGTTTCAAACCAAAACTTTTATTATCCAAAATATACAAGAAGCTATGACTCCCAGCTGTACAACTGCCTGGAAAAGGGTGTACAGCATGATGTTTTACTTATTTGAAAGGCAGAGTTACAGAGAGAAAAAGAGAGGGAGAGACAGAGAGAGGTCTTCCATCTGCTGGTCCACTCCCTTAATGGCCACAATGGACAGGGCTGGGCCAGGCTGAAGCCAGGAGCTTCCTCCAGGTCTCCCATGTAGGGGCAGAGGATCAAGCACTTGGGCCCTCCTCTGCTGCTTTACCCAGCAGGGAGCTGGGTAAGAAGTGGAGCAGCTGGGATTCAAGCCAGCATCCATGTGGGATGCTAGTGCTGCAGGCATCAGTGTAACTTGCTATGCCACAGCACCAGCCCCCAGGAAGAACTCTTATCCCTGTTTTTTGGAGTCAGAGTTCTACCAGGACTTGTGTGAAAAACCACAGATCACTACACAGCCCCATAGTTGATGAGAAAAAGGGAGCCCCAGAGAAGAGGACATGTTCTGTTTCCTAAGGCAGAAGTCTGTGATTGCCAGAGACTGACATTCAATTCAGTTCCCTCAGAACTATTGATTTCAAGTCAGGAAGCTGGTGACTGTCCAGAGAAGCTAGTATCAGAACAGCTTCCACCACTGTACAGACTCAGGCAGGAAATACGTGGTCTGAGTGGGGTGGGTCTTGCTGGAAATGCAGGACTGTGAGATGGAAGATAATGCAATGGAATGCTGTTGATCTGAACTCATTTAAAATCAATAGGTCTGGGAGTATGTGGCCTTAACTACCTAGCTGTACATCTTTCCTTAAATCAGTTCACATTACCACATAGTGGTTTTAGTTTTAGGTTTTGAGTCCCAACTAAAGTAGTATATTTACTATGTAGAAGAGTACTAAAGTTCTTGTGACTCCAGATCATCCATTCTATTCTTGTGTATTGCTGAACCTGAAATGATGTTTGAAGTGTTAAATGGTATATAAAATAGTGAATGCTCATGTGTAGAAAATCACAGTGGCTGTTACAAGTGCCAGAAACTCTTGAAGGCAGTTAAGCTTTGAAGTGGTCTTTGAATATTTTAATGCATTTATTTTGATAAATAATGTCATTGAATACTTAGAGTCCAGGTGTGAGTTGATTTGCCTTTGACAACTGGAATTTCAACCAACATAAAGGGAGGATCTTTGTAGTAGAGAAGAAGCATGCATTACTGAATCTGTGCAGGGAGAACTGGCAGCCCCAGAGCTGAGATGAGGGTGGCAAGGAAGATGCTCTTTTCTAAACCTAAGTCACAGCACATCCTTAGAACCACCTGGGGTTAAAATTACTAACAGAATCTTTTATTAAACATCAGGGTCACTGATGAGAATAGAACATTGACCTAAATCCCTTCTTGAGGCTTAAGAACCAGCTAAATAGACGTGAACTGTATGGAGACAAACACCAATGTTACATTACTCAACTCTCCACTGCTCCAATGAAGGAAGAAGACAAATGGGGAATATGGGCCTCCCCTTTTTTGTCATCTTTCCTTTGGTTCCAACTTGCATGGGCTTCCAGAAGACATACATGGAAACCATTCTCTTCTGTGGTCAATACATGATCTCAGAATTTCCCTTATTCATTTGCTTTCACTTATCTAACAGATTTTTATTATGTTACTCTAGGTAATGAGGAAGGCCACAGAAGTGCACTTTTCTCCCTCATTTTTAAAACTGATTTATTTGAAAGGCAGAGTTACAGAGAGGAGGTAGAGACAGACCTTCCATCTACTGGTTCACTCCCCAAATGATCACAATGGACTGAGCTGAGCCAATCCAAAGCCAGGAGCCAGGAGCTTCTTCCAGGTCTCCCACAGGAATGCAGGGGCTCAAGCACTCGGGCAGTCCTCTGATGCTTTCCCAGGCACATTAGCAGGGAGCTGGATTGGATGTGGAGCAGCCAAGACTTGAACCAATGCCCATATTGGATGCCAGCACAGCAGGCAGTGGCTTTACGCACTGTGCTACTGTGTGGGGCCCATAT